CGGGGGGTCCGGGGGGGTGGGGAGACGGGTGGGGGGGGGGGGGGGGCCGAGGGGTGCGCGGAGAGGCCGGGGAGACGGAGGTCGGCGAGGCGGTTCTGTACCTGACTCCGCGCTGCGGCGGCGTCTCCGCGGGGGCGGCGGTCTCCTCTCGGCTGCTGTGCTGCTCCCTCGGGCTCGGCCGCTGAGGGCCATGGCTCCCGCGCTCCTGCCGGCTCCACGCGCCTCCGCTCCGGCACCGGCTTCGACCTGTCTCGCGGGTCAGGCGGGGCCTCCGCTCGGCTCTTCCCCCTCGGCCGACGCACGGGACGGGGCCTGGCACGCGCACACCGCCGCGACTTAGTGCCGTCACCTGCCAGACGCTCCCGGTTTGCGTCCCCGCCCGCGGTCCCCGCCCCCGTGTCCCCCGGGTCCCCCTTTCCCCCGCCGGTTAGGTTCCGAGGTGTTGCTGAAATCACCTTCCCCCGCAGAGCCATCTCAGCCATCTCACTGGCCTTCCCTTTTATTTTTATGGCCAAAGCCCGAGATCACCTAGATTTTTCTTCAGTCGTTACGCTCAACGATGTGTGTGTATACATATATGTGTTCATTCCGGTGTCTAGTTTTATTTTTTGCATTTGGATGTTCAGCCTCTATTTTCAATAAATAAGACTTTGTTCCTTTTTTCCAAAAATCAGGATATATTAGAGTTTGTTTCTTGGCTATTTTGTTGTTTTGATCTATTTGTCTATGCTTAGACAATACCACATTGTCTCGATTATTATAGCTTAACAGTAAGTTTCAAAATTGAGTGTATTTCGTCCCTCAGTCTCCTGTTTCTCCCCTTTCTACATCTTAAAATTTCTCTCTCTTGATCTGTGTGCTGGTTACATGGATAAACACATGTAAAAATGATTGCATTCCCTCCCACTGAGCAGGTTTTGAGTCCAATTAGATAGTTGTTGCTTACCCCCCAAGATAAAAGTGCCATTACTTCACCGCTAGAGATAGTTTGCTGTGTTGGTCCATTTGTGGTTATTGGGCTTTACAGCTGGTGTTGGACATTGACTGATTTTCTCCCTTAGCGACTTGCAGAGTATCCTCTGATAGATACTATGACTCAATAGGCCTTAGCCTTTATGACAGAATGCATGAAATCTGATGGGGGAGGCTATGGGAGTGTGGAGAAAGACTAGTACATTTTAAACACTTAAATGTATTCATTACACTTCAAAAACATCATTTATTATTCATTTTAATGATATATGTATATACTTTTTTTTTTTTCTTGACACAGGGTTTCACCCTAGCTGGCCTGGGACTCTCTATGCACAGAGATTTGCTTGCCTCTGACACAGGATAAAAGGCCTAGGACACTAGCTCTAGTGTTTTTTGAGGGGCAAGAAAGGTAAACACATAGGTTTAATTTATTGTCTCTTTTGACTTTTAAAAAATTTATATTTTAAAATGTATTTATTTATTTATTTATTTATTTATTTATTATGTCTTTTGGAGACAGTGTTTCCCTGTAGCCCCAGCTGGCCTGAACTGGAGACATAGACCAGGCTGGCCTTGAACTCATAGAGATCCACCTGCCTCTGCCCCCTCCCCCCTCAGTGCTAGGATTTAAGACGTGTTCCACAGTGCCGGGCTCTTATTATTTTTCAGTGAATGAGTGTGTTGCCTGCATGAATGTAAGTGCGCTCATGTCGTGGAGGTCAGTAGAGGGCGTCAGATCCTCTGGACTGGAGTTGCGAACGTGGTTGTTAGCCACCATGTGGGTGCTCGGATTCAAATCTGGGTCGTCTACTGCAAGAGCAGTCAGTGCTCTTAACCGCTGAACCATCTCTCCAACCCTTAGATTTATTATCTTGAATAATGTTTTGAAACAACTTGGTTTTAATATATGGAAACCAGCCCCTGAGTGTGGT